AATTCTCCGCTCGGCCATACTTTTTCGTTATGTAGTTTTTGGTTTCGGCGGGCGCGATCTTTAGGGCGCTACAAAATTAGTGGTCTGTGTTGCGTGCGACCGTTTTCATAAGGCAGTGTTTCGCGTCTGTTAACGCAGTCCTTGGTCCGCGGCGCCTGACAAGTACGAAATCAATTTGTGTTCTAGTGTACCTGCTATAGAGGTGGATGGAGACTATGTGAGTCGCTTTTTCTTACAGGATTTTCATGTTCACTTAATGGCGAGGTTGTGCGAGTCTGCATACTCGAAGAGATTCGAAAGTCGCCAATCGGTGTTTACGTAACCCATATCCAAACCCACCGTGACGAAGCTGTATACGTCGTCTTTCGCAGCGCCAACGTGCCACATTGAGGTCCACCTGAGACAATTAATAGCTTCTTTGTGACGTGAACCTCAAGCTTTGTCTCTCATCAATGCAGTATTCCCAAGAGCTTATCTTTGGCCCATGTTTCTGAGCATCAGTCCTGCGTGATTCGTTACCTGAGAAGAAGCTGGTAATGTGTTCGAAGATGTTTCCCCCAATGATCGCACAATCCGATTTTCATTAATTCGGTCGTGCAAGATCGCTACCACGTTTACTAATCGAATCACGAAAGCGTTTGCAGAAGACAAATGATCCGACGCCATTGGCTGGTTGGCGACGCCATAGCAGACGAACGGCGTTGAGCGCGCCAATGTCCCTCGACTTGGAGCAGGGACCAACCTCGTTTCCTGCACGTCACCAGAAGTCTAATTTCTGTTCGACGCTCTAGCGCTTCTGGCCAGCTCGCTGGAGGCGGCCCGTCAACCGGTGCCAACATTAAATGTGCAAACGCGGGTCTTCGTATACGTTTGCTCATGGCTTTCTGGAGCCTAGCTAAGTTGCCGCGCATGCCGTCCTTCACTTGCGAGACCCCTCGCATGCTTTTCACCACCGAGTTTGCGAAGGTGCGCGTCCGGCTCCCGGCGTACGCCGTAGCGAATTAATCTCTGACATTCATATGGCGAATCATTAACATTTTGTTGATTGACGTGGTGGCTTCGTAGGGCCGGCGCTGTCACGAGGCGCCTGTGCGTGCATTCGTGATTCCGTGGGTCGTTCAGCCTCACAAAGGTGAGCAGTTTTTCCATGAGTGGGCACTGCCGGCCTTGGAGTGAACGGACTCACCGCCCCTCCCCACTGTTGCCCTTATATGCACAAATTTGTTGCGCTTTGTTTCGAGCGCACAAAATAAATACATAAATAAATATAAGCGAATATAGCAGGAATGAAGTTTATGAACGATTTATCAAACGATACAAAACAACTGGGTTTCAGGGGAAAAAAATCTAATCAAAAACTGCTATGGCTCTGTGATCGACAGAAAAACAGTACACAAAAAACTGTGACAGGCCTTTTTCGACAACCTGGTGGCGGAATATTCAGGAGGGGTCGTGGCTAGGCAGAGAGTACCTCATTGCTTGATTTCTCCTTGGTAATATAGACTCAGAGCTAAACGCATTTTCACCGACTGGACCTCCCAGTTCGCAGGCCTAAAAAACAACCCGTGCAAAAGAATGTGGAAGTGAAACATGGCGTTTTGTGAGGCAGGCAAATCCTTTCCGAATGATATATGAAGTGTTGTAAAACATGTGATTTTAGCGGAAAACTCCCCGTTAAAAAAACGACGTTAGGCATGGATAACCTAATTGTAATTTGCACATCAAGATTAGTTACTCCATTGTAAGCCTACTGGCACAGCAACTCGTGTCGTTTTTCGAATATCGAGAAGATTTCTAGCTGATTTGTCGTTGTATTCCCGTCAAGTAGGTCAGCACCTCGGGCATTTGGTAAGGAGATTCAGATTGCAGTTTAGGGATGAAAACGCCTTCGCCGAGGTGAATGAGTGGTAATTGCATAAGAGTTAAGCATGGGAGGTTTTAATGCTACTTCTTCTCCTCAGCACTCAGCACTTCCCTTCCAATTGCCAAAAATTCCGTCGGCGCTGATGGGTGGGAAGGTAGGTGAATTCCTACATCTGTTACCAAGTTCCTCGGATTGCAAGAGGTGCGTAGCGTTTCTCTCCCTGAGATCAGGTCACCTAAAATTGAGACGCCTTTCATTGGCTTAGGACATAGATCACGTTGGCTTAAACCTAAGCCTAATTATAGGCTTAGGCTCAA